GCAGATCTTGAATTCTCTCCTGGGTTGCTCGGGCTGTATGGGGTCTGGCATTGTCATGAAGCAGTAACCCTCTTGCCAGTTGGCCTGGAGATTGTGTGCGAATTGCATATCAAAGCTTCAACAGAACTTCACAGTACGATGTAGAATTAATATTTTTACCACGCTTCTGAAAATGGGTTAATACTCGTAATACTACCTGAGAATCCCAAAACACAGTAAATGTAACCTTCCCAGCTGATGGCGTACTCGTAACCCTAGGCTTTTTGGTTGAAGATGAACTGGGATGTTTCCATTGCTTTGAAGCGCGCTTTGATTCGTCCACAGTAACAATCCTCTTAAGCATATCTCTTCTCCTTAAAATGCATACCCCATTAAAATCTTCCTAACTAGCAGCCTCGTAGAAGTATTCTGGGTGACCTGCATAAATCACTAAGTTACTCATTACATATTCATATACGCCAGACAATGAACAGCGTCCAACATACAGTAGTATTCTTATAATTATTATAAACTTCCCCCTTAGCTCCTCCGTGTTCAGTTCAAGTAAAAAAGAAGACGTAAAGTTATTTGGAGAACAGGACGTGAAACCACAGGACACGTAATCACACCTTGTAACAAGCTGTGGTGAGCTGCCCCTCAGCGGGATGTCCAAGAAGAAACAGTGAGTGATAACAATTGGATAACAATAAAGTAATACAATATTTGCTGTGTGCTGAAAGTAAACACTCCCCGGGCAGATCTTGATGAAATGGATGTCGGGCTGAGTCACCGCAACCGTGGGTCACGTCTGTGTTTATTTCTTGCAGCGAAATGGCAGATATAGCGGTGAGTTTTTCATTTAGAAATGGGGTCATGATGAAATGCAATACCTCGACGGGCAGCACCAAACAAACGTAATATGTTTTCAACTGCGATGGATGCGCGCGAAAGCACAATTTTGGGACCTTTTGCCGAGTAGTGAATCTGTCCTCTTCCCTGTCCTAACACTGTGACATGTGACCTACAATGACTGCTGATTGCAAGCAAAATATTATAACTCTTCTTGAATGAAGACGAAAACCCGTTCTTCCTTGTCTATATTTAGTTGTCTGGCAGTATTCTGCTGGCCAGATCCGATGTCTGACATTGAACAGACTGTCTTAATGCATTAAGAATAGGGACTGATGATTAGCCCGCGGTCTAAACCTCTTCGCCCGCTCGAACACTGGGATCGTGAGTTCGAATCCCACTCAAGACATGGATGTCTGTGTGAGTTTATTCAGTGTTTTGTGTGTAGGTAGTGACCTTGCGATGGGCTGATTCCCCCTCCAAGGAATTCTACCGACTATGTACATATTAGGAAACTGAAAAAGAGGCCAAGGTTCACAAGGGCTGTAGAGCAATAGATAAATTGATGATTAGCTGTGGTCTACGTACAGCACTGATAAAATTCCTCAGCCAAAGTACTCTACAACGATTTCGACAGAAAGGTGTTCATACGGGAAGGAAGGTTTCATATTGTAAATGTGTATACGCCTTTCGTGTGAAGAGCAACTCTAATGATGAAGAGATGACACACTGTGCATAGTTGTCATCGACTATACTCAAGCCACTTAAAGAAGACAGATGGTGGGGATTACAAAGCTTGAGGCATCCCCCTTTCTGCCTGCTGTTATATGCACTTCCAACTCGCTCAAGTTTGTCACGCAGCCCGCAGGGCTTGTTACTAGCGCGGTATCAAATGCTATGAACGAGGTGGATAAACCAGCGGTTCTTAAGGTAATATTTGTTGTTGCCTAATTTGCAAGTCAGAAACAAGGCCGCGCCATAGCTCAAGCGGTTCGTCGCTGACTTCCCATCGCGGCGGCCCGGGTTCGATCCCGGGTCTGGTCAAGTGGGATTTGTGGTGGACAAAGTGGCGCTGGGGCAGGTTTTTTCCGAGTGCTTCGGTTTCCCCTGCCAATTTTCATTCCACCAATTGCTCCACAATCACCCTCACCTATCCTCTGGGGCTGGTACAATAGTGGCCGCAGTACAAGGGACTTACTCCCACCCCATTAGCAATAAAACAAGATGTCAGAAACATGTCCCGTGTCCTCATATTTATAAATATACAACTTTTCACGCATAAAACAAACACCGTAAATGAGATTGTTAGTGTCAGTTCTCTGGGATATAATGCAGTGTACGGCAGTGAAGGTCACCTGACGTTCCTCCGAAACGTCGGTTGACATCGCTGGAAGGAGCATACATTGTATCTGATAAGAAAGTCATGAGAAAAATGAGATCATCTGGTAGCACGAAAGAGGAGGTAGTAGGGAGGGCTCCCCATTATACCCCAACTTAGGTCTTATCAAATGTAAGCCAGACAATAGACAGTGTCCCTACTAAATGCCTAGTATCAGAGAATGCGGAAGAGATCAGAGTGTTAGAATTGTAGGGATGCCATCTGAGTCACCGAGTCACGAGCTTCAGGTAATTTCCATGAAGATTGAGGCAGATCAGTGATTTCCTGTAAATGTAGTGACCTCACGTCATTCACGCAGATCCAACCTTTCTGTGGTCAGTGACAATGGACATTGTTGAATGTGTGATTAAAAGGGATATCCCCTCTCCGTCTGTCTTGGAGAAAAGAAGGAAAGCGCTCTGTTTCATCGGCTGATATCACTGTGATCCTGTCGAGCCATCACGCACTGCGAGTTACATACTCAGGGTCAGCGTACCACGAGGCAGACGACTCGCGTAACGATGTCACGCCAACAGAGAAGTTTGCAACCGTATACAATCTGCAGGTCTGATATCATATACATAAAAGCTAAGTGTGTGTGATATTGGCGACAGAAAAGGACGCAGTATTTTCATTGTCTGACATGGCGTTTATACAATTGACTGTTGCCGATTAGTAATGACCAGGGCCCAGATTTTGATGACATGTCATCTTTTTTTTCCTTGTATCCTATGCGATGCTCTTAAATATATAAATCTCGGATATGAGCTGCTGGTTACAGAAATGTAAATTTTATAGGTAATTTTCTGTCAT